TTAAGAATCAGCACTAATACATGTGTTTAATCTTTAATTCCTCTAAATTAGCCTCAAATCAGATTCACTAAAATCGACTAAAACACTAGACTTTCTCTCTACTTCCCCACAATCAACCCCGTGAATCTCGTCCCGTTCATTCCTTTTCTCTAATGTCCAAGCAACCAAGCCCGAACTGAGCTCCACTCTCGCCGTCACCGCTATTGCTCCCACCATGGCTCTCCTCCTCCTCCTCATCACCGTCTCTCTCTTCCTCCTATCCTCTGCCGCTCTTCCTTACCCCTACGGTAAGCGAATTCATATTTCCCAAACCAATGGGCTCAGTAACCGACTGACTTACTCAGTTGCATCTGATTTTCAGCTCTCTTTAATGGCATTTGATTTCATTTCCATTTTGCAGACACCAGCTATCACATAGACTGCGGCGGTCACACCCCCTCTACAGACCTCTACAATGTCACCTGGCTCCCGGACCAATTTTTCTCCGGCGGCGCCACTGCTGTTGTATCTGAACCCCTTCATTTCCGCCTCCAAGTTGAGAAGACCCTTCGCTACTTCCCTCTTTCCTCCGGCAAAAAGAATTGTTACGTAGTGCCTCTCCCTTCAGGCCGTTACTACATCCGCACTTTTACGGTTTATGATAACTACGACGGAAAATCTCACTCTCCTTCCTTCGATGCCTCCGTCGAGGGCACTCTCGTCTTCTCATGGCGGTCCCCCTGGTCCGAAGGCATCGACCGTGACGGTGCCTACTCGGATCTTTTCGCATTCGTCAAAGACGGTGAACTGGACTTCTGTTTTTACAGCATTGCCACCGATCCTCCCGTCATCGGCGCTCTTGAAATCATTCAGATCGACCCGCTGTCCTACGACTCAGCAAGGACCGGTGACAGTTACATCCTAGTCAATTACGGGAGGTTGTCCGCTGGTTCGGACCAATGGGGACCCGGGTTCACATCCGACCCGGATCCTTTCGGCCGGTCCTGGCAGTCTGACACTGAATTCCTGAACCAGAATTCAAAATCCGCAAGAACAATCACCACCGAGGAGAAAATCTTCGGTACCGATCAAGCACCGAATTATTTCCCGATGAAACTTTACCAGTCGGCGGTGACGATAAGCGGCGATCTGGAGTACGAATTATCAGTGGATGCAAAGCTTGATTACTTGCTCTGGTTCCATTTTGCGGAGATCGATTTAACAGTTAAAAAGGCAGGGCAAAGGGTGTTTGACCTGATGGTCAACGATGTGAATGTGAGTAGAGTGGATATATACAAGGAGGCTGGGGGTTTCGCGGCTTACAGTTTGATTTATACGGTGAAGAATTTGAGCAGCACCGTGTTGAGCGTGAGGTTGGCGGCAGTGGTCGGGGCGCCGTTGCTCAGTGGTCTTGAGAATTACGCTATGGTTCCAGCTGATATGTCAACGGTTCCTGAGCAAGGTAATGGGGATTTTCAGAAGTACATAGAATTGCTTTCGATTTTGATGCAATTAGGGTCTTGGTTTGTAAAATTAGACTATTTCTAGAGTTTAAGGGTAATTGTATTCTGCTAGGAAAAGGGCACAGAAAGAGAAGTTAAGGATTTTTTTTTTTTTTTTTTCTGTTATATTTCATGCTAAAGAGGTAAATGAATTTAGAGTGCTGGCTTTTCGAAATGCAAGGTAATAATTTTTCCTTCTTTTTTTGTTTTTGTTTTTGTTTTTGTAGCTGTTGCTATGAGGGCACTGAAAGAATCACTGCGTGTTCCTGATCGTATGGGTTGGAATGGTGATCCTTGTGCACCCACTAATTGGGATGCTTGGGAGGGAGTTACATGCCATCCCAACCAGAATGATACTGCCCTTGTCATAACCCAAATGTAAGTGCTGCTTTTATTCGAATTACAAATCTCATGGCTGGTGTCCATAAGTTTGGGATATGCAACAGACCACATGAACTGTTTATATGGCGCAATGTAAAAGTTATTATCTTTAAGTGATTTATTTATTATCTTCAAGGCATGGTAGAAAATCTTAAATTTTTGGTTCTAGTTATTGTAATATTGAAATTCTATTGGTGATTAAATAGTCAAATTCTCTTGCTGATTAATGTATGAGAGTTGCCACTCAATATTATGGAAAATGAAGCAAGACATAAGCCTCAAATTGCTGGAGTATAGGGTTTTGTGCTTTGTGGATTTCATTTTGGTAGATAACAATGTGCAACATTTTGTCTCCATGTTTCATTTTTGGTCTTATGCTTGGGAAATGAAGAAATGGCTAACGTGTAAGAACTGCCAGAGGCAGAGAAAACCTCTGCATTGATTTATCTAATCACTAAATGAAGTCAATCTTTTTTTGACCATATGTTGTCAGAAATTTGTTAATCAAGCACATTTTCTTCTTTGTCTATCCGTTATATTTACTTATTTATTTTGATTGCATGCTGATACATTTCAGAGATCTTGGAAGTCAAGGTTTAAAAGGGTATATCAGTGACCAGATTAGTCTTCTGTCAAACTTGGTAAACCTGTAAGTGTCATCTGACAACCTTTTGTGTACTCAAAATCATAAAGAAAAGCATTATATGGTCAAAATCATAGCTTCAAAATGTAAACAATATTAAGTCAAGTGTCATCCAACGGCATGGAGCAAGTCTTCTTTCTAACTCCTCTTTATCAGGGGCATATATAATGTTCAGCTGTAGGCCATTTCTGTTGTTTCTTCTCAATCTTTGGGTCAATGTAATTATTGTTGTTCTTGTCATTACCTCTTAAAATTTGCAGGAACTTAAGTTCTAATTCTTTGACTGGTATTCTACCCGTTGGGCTTGGTCAAAAATCTCTGAAACGACTGTAAGTAGTATACCTTTTCTTTATTGAGCTTTCAAAAACGCTGTATAATTGTTTTGGTTTTTGTTTTGAATATACATACATGTATGCATGTATGAATGAATGAAATCCAATTGTCATTATATGAGCTGCCCTCTGGCCATGAAATCAACACATACCATTGATAATGATAACCAATATTGATTGCATATAAGAGACTATAACCTTGTGATATGTTTGGATAATTTCTTTTCTAGTTAAAGCACTGGATTACCATAACTTTGTGATTTTTGGTTAAGTGTGCAAAACTTGTAAAATAGTACTCGCCCATACCATTGATTAATTTGCTTTCCTTGCCTTCTCGTAGATTTTCTGCTAAAACTAGTATAGACCCCATATTTCTTGTTGTTTTCCATCGTTAGATTCACTTAGCTTCCAAATATTGATTTTTGCATTGTATTTTGCAGTGATTTATCAAACAATCAATTTTCAGGTTCCATACCAGAGAGCTTAACTTCCTCAAATATGCAGCTTGTGTAAGTAATTTGAATTATTTTATTTTATTTTATTTTTTGCATTTAATTCAGTAACAGTGGAGTTCTGCATTCTACTCCGATGGTTTCACTTTGAGATTTCTTTTCCTTTATTTTTTTTGGGTGAAATTCTTCTCCTTTATACGTTGATATCCCTTTTTTGTGGTATGTTTTAGCATTGTTGACTTAATTGCAGCCTCCTGAAAGTAGAGGGCCCTGGTTTCGTTCAGGGCACTGGGGTGGGGTTGTAAAGGGATGGAGAGGTTTACCTCCAGTTTTCTAACCCATGAATAATAAATAAATAGCTTTCTTCCAACCTTAAGCTCTCTATCATGGTTTTGCTGAAACAATCATCATGAAATGTTATGATTTCTGCATTTCTGACTTTCAGTTACTTGGGGGCACCATTTCTCAAAGTAATTTATTTGATGCAGACATGAAACATTGCATAGAATGCCCTTATATTTTCTCTGACAGGTCTCTTTGCTTTCATATTAATAATCTTGCTCCTGTGTCAGACTACTCAACAATAACTTGTTGGAGGGGAGAGTGCCAGAGGACCTTTATTCAGTTGGTGTGCATGGCGGAGCCATTGAGTATGCTACCTTTCTTATTCGTTTTTTAGTATTTTATTCAAAGTGTTGAAATTCTTATATCTGCCCCTTTTTGAATCCCACAATATCCTTGATTTATGCTATTGAAACTGATGATAATGTTCCGACCAAAAAAACTGACCATCATTGTTTACATATTCCTCCTTTTTGATAATTTTACTTGAAACAACACTTTTAGAGCATGACACTCCCCATGCTCCCAACCAATATCAGGGACAAAAAAACCTCAGCTGTATAAAACACAAATAATTCAATTATGTAATGGAATGGAATACTTGCAAAATGGAACCCAGACTAATATAGTGCAGTTAAGGAGTTCATTACATTGTTTTTCTTCTATGGTCAAATTCCTTTCATTTTTTTTTTTTTTTTTTTTTTT